AGGCGTGCATGATGACCTTGGCTGGTGGCACACATCTCCGAGCACGGAGCCATGGCTAGGGAAAGCACGTACGGACAACGGAAGAGGATTTAGGCTAGAACTGAAGCCAACTGGGCCCTGCCCAGAGCCAGAAGTGGGATAATGGGTGTTGTGAGGTGCCATTTTTGATGCAGAACAGTGACAGCCACACAACCCACCACCGGAAGGATCTTATCTCCTCCATTATCCCAGCTGATGTGGCTTTTGACTTCGCGGAGCAAGGCTGGCGTCCAGACGTCTGTGGAAGGGAAAGAGATAAATGATAGGAGCTGAGAAAGCAGGAAGGATCGCATCTTTCCAGACGGATGTTCAAGAGATAAAGAGAATTCAGCTGGCGCAAAAACAGGTCCGAGCATTGGAACGTGGCCACCAAGTCCAGAGGTTCTTCTGGAAGCTACCATGGGGTGAAAGAAGGGAAGAGGACAAAAGCTTTTGGCTTCAGCGGCAAAAGAGATATTTCCAAAAAAGGAAAACACAACGTTCTTTAGAATCTCCTCAGCTTTCTTCTCTTAGCACAGGTCTATGTCCCCACGTCAGTAATTAACACACTCTGATGCTAAGGAGTTCTACTCACCCTCCCCACCTGAAAAGAACTCTGTTCCAACTGCCAGTTGCCTCACATTCCGTTACCTCAGTTCAAACTAGCAGACGTTCCACTCTTTCACTCAGGAGCGGTCTGGGGGCTCCTTACAGTACTAAACGTCGGTACCTCACCAAAATGTCTACGCCTTCCACCTCTGGAACTGCTTCCGGACTCAAGGCGGTGGGAGCGATATCCCCTTATGTGTTTCAATCACCGACCGCCACTGAGCCAACGGATTGGGAACCAAATTTCTCCTGCATAGCCCAGTCACATAGTTTTGTCACGAAGGCAGGGATCTCTGCTTTTAAAAAATCCATTTGTGTTTCTGGGGCGTGTTGGCAGCCTGCAACAGGTTTCTGCCCGTTTGATCTCATGAAATCAAAGACAGGGTAAGCCGATCGGTCCTCGGAGGCCACGAGGAGACGCTGAGGCCTGCAGCCTGGAGCTGGGCAGGAAACGACGGGAACAATGGCGGTATTGTCAAAAGATGTTGCAAGGACTTGTCCATCTAAAGCGCCTGGATCGGTTTGACTTGCTTGTCATTGTTTCAAAGGCTTAACGCTTGGCTGAGCACTTAAGAAAGGCGACTGCAGAATTCTTTTCCTGCTCGGAGTGCTGCGAAAGCTCAGCGGACAGCGTTAATGAGGCTTAATAAGTCCGGTTTTGTGTCCCGTTGGTTCTTTTCCACTTCTGTTTTTTTACTTTGCTGAAAGAAGCAGAGACCCGCTCAGAAAGGGCGCTTCAGAATAATAAGAATCACAAGAGCTGGAAGGGAGCTTGGAGGTCTTCTAGTCCAACCCCCTCCTCAAGCAGGAGACCCTGTACCATTTCAGACAAATGGCTGTCCAAGTCTCTTCTTAAAAACCTCCAAAGTTGGAGCACTCACCAATTTCTGGAGGCAAGTCGTTCCACTGGTTAATTGTTCTCACTGCTAGGACATTTCTCTTTATTTTTACACTGGTTCTCTTCTTGATTAGTTTCCACCCATTGCTTCTTGTCCTGCCTTCAGATGCTTTAGAGAATAGTTTGATTTCCCTCTTCTTTGGTGGCAGCCCCTCAAATATTAGGAACTGCCCCCCTTAGTCCTTCTTTTCATTAGGCTAAACATAGCTAGTTCCTCTTCCCATGGCCACTCCTGCTACCCAATTTCGCAAGGGTGATCAAGACATTCACATATATATTTGGTGGTGGTGGGGTCATTTAGGTGACCTATAAGAGGATAACAAGAGTTGGAAGGGACCTTGGAGGTCTTCTAGTCCAACCCTCTGTTCAGGCAGGAAACCTGTTCTGACCCCACTCGTTCCACACCAAAGCACACTCCGAGTCAGAGATAAATTACGGCATTTAATTAACAGACAAACATGTCCTTGACAGCACAGACAAGCTTGGGCAGCAATAAGGTAAGGCTTGGCAGCAATTCAGCCTGCCAAGCTCACATAAAGTTCTCTGACATTCAGTTCTGTGTTGACTTCTGCAAAGGGGCGTGTGCACAAGTAGCCTTTTTATAGTCTGGAGAGGAGCCTAATGACCACCAGCTGAGT